TCTACAAAACTCCTCATCAACGTGTCATTTGTTTGCATCTCCGTAAGTGATAGAACACCGATTTTGTCAAGTAGGACTAGAGATATGTTCAGTTACAATATCTCCGAGGTTCATCAACATCACCGTCATGATCAGATACAGCAACATCCTTGTTGAGACTGATGCAATCACCAAGTTTACATAATTAGATTTAGAGCGTTAGAATGAAAACAAGGGAAAAGAGTGACTAGGTGACTGGCCTATCACGACCATCCTGAGGCGCATACACCTCCAAGTGCTAAATCAGACAATATGAAAGGTAACTGAGGGTACGAACGCCAGTGCCATCGATTAGCCGCAATTTCTTGCACTGTCTTCAGCCAAACGCAGGGGGGTTACGAGGCTCCCATCTTGGCAGACCGCATCAACAACATTTACACTCTCCACACCATTCTATCTTCATGGTTGCATTGAGAAGAGTTATGAAAAGGCTGGATATCCATTTTGTTTGTGTTGGAACCCCAAAATTAGCTTTTGTATTGCTTCTGTTACTCACATTTACTGCCCTACCATATGTAGCAGTCAGTACTTGGAACCTCAAAATTAGCTTTTGTATTGCTTCTGTTACTCACATTTACTGCCCTACCATAGGTAGCAGTCAGTATCTTCTTGAACCTCTCAACGTTGGAACCCCAAAATTAGCTTTTGTATTGCTTCTGTTACTCACATTTACTGCCCTACCATATGTAGCAGTCAGTATCTTCTTGGAACCTCTCAAAACGCCAAACAGAAATAAGCTTCCATCTTTCTTCAAGTTAAACTTTTCCTCCTATAACCCCGTAAAGATCAGTTATTAGATAGTCTTTTTCAGAACTCTAACTACAGATGACCCGATAGAATTTAACATATTTTAGCCTCCATCCGCAACGCGATGACAAAGTGACGCCAACCAGCAATGAAGTTAATCTCAATGAATAAGTTAACCTCCAAAGATCGATAACATCAGGGGAAAATTAAGAAACCTCATAAGGGAGCTGATTCTTCGTGAGGCGACAAAACTCCTTGTTTGGTTGGGTTAGTCCAATCATGTGAGTCGTCTTTAGGTACAACGGAATGCGTCATCGACCGAATTCCCAGTGATGCGTAAGACTGAAGATTTTGTACTTTGTTTAACCAATAAGACCGACGGAAAATGGTAGCACGCACTAACCTATTGCAGTTGATTTGTAAAGCAAACGCCTGCACTATTGTGATTATTTTGGTACACTGGCATTTTCACGCGAATTACCCAGTATGTTTTCAGCTTCCACATAAGTCTGCGTATTCATGTGTGCAGCCACCAACAGCCTGCATGAATACTGAGTATGTCATATCAGAAGTGTGCGTGCGTGCGATTGTGCGATCTTACCTCACACTAGCTGTGTGCATGCTCACTTAAAATCTATCATATGTCACCAACCGTATCGATTATCAGACGGTATTAGACGAAGCTAGTAATGGACTTCATTATCGTATACCCAGACGGGCTATTGACACTTTCGCAAAAGTAGCTGTTCACACGAGATCCTGGGAATTACAGCTGTTATCACTTTGGTAGAAGATGGGTAGACCATCCAGTGGAGGGAAATTACGCTGTTTGAGTTGCTGTCCATGTGGATCGAAAAGGCCCACCATTAACCATGTGGATATTTCCAGCCCTTCAGCACCCAGACCGATTGACAATGCTGCTCCAGCCACACCCAATTCCCACCATGTTAACTTTGTGGGGGCCGGCAGTCTTCCGAAGCAAACCTTAGTTGGCGATGCGCATTGGCAGCCGAAAGACCTGGGAGACGTGGCGATGAAGCTGAGAGTAAGTACATTTGGACGATGCGCTGTTTTAAGGTGCATGCCGTTTTTATTTATAGTGAGTGAAATATTTGATAAGGAACTGTCCCCCAGTGTTTATCATAGCAAGCTTCGCCTCAACATTCCGTCAAACTTGGTATCAGTGCTTTGTTATTCTAAATAAACGATAAAATTCACGTGATTCTGATTTATTGGAGATATCTGTCAACCGGAGCACTGCATATTTGCACTCCCAAAGTCGAGGAATGCTTGGTAGTTAGGATAAGAGTAGGAAAATTGTTTTTTTTTATTTAAAGGGACTGGATTAGACTTCAAGCACAATACGCGTATATTAGGATGAAGGTATTTGTCTCAAACCTGGGGGAGTTATGTCCTATTTAGCAGTTTCTGTAGCGCACAAATGCGATAGATAACCGCTTAATACAGCCTCATCGATAGTAACTTATGTCAGTCAGTCAAAAGATCTCGTGCACTGTGTATAAACAAGACACGGTGTTGAGTAGAGCTCACACACATGCAAGAACCAGACCAAGCGACAATCGAAAAATGCTGAACACAAAGTGGTGGCCTGTAGCATGTAATCGATAGGGCTTCAGCGGATTTAGGTGTTGGTAACCGATCGTATCTCATCAGAACGGAAAGCATTGAGTTGCCACAAACGAAACTAAGTATTTATTCCACCAGTGTAGATGTATTTGAACTGCAGTTGGTACAGTTCGGAGGCACTTCGGCGTTTAGGATTCACACTCGAACCAATGTTCGCCTGCTTCCAAACCACGTTCCAGGGTGCACCATCATCTTAGTGCCACACGACCGTCAAAAACTCCATCATAGATTAATCACAGGGTTTTCAACTAACGGGATCACACACAGAATATTTTCTCCTAAAAACTAACTTCAAACTGTATTTTTGCACCAAGGAAACTGCTCATTCAGATGGTGTTTGAGGGCTTTTTCGGCAATTTATTTGACCATACGCCCAATTCAAACCTCGTGTAGTGGACGCCGTCAGTCATCAAACTAGAATGTTTTGCCCACTCACTGCT